TTGTAGAAGTGATCTGGGGGATTAAACACACTAGTATACAATAACAGAGAACCAGATATAGTCTCATACTAAAAACATTTACAGTGTTTCCTAAATCCATAGTGCCCCCTTGTGGCCTTAAACGCAAACCATACTTGTTTTTACTCATTTAATAATACATTTTATTTTTTATAATATAGATTTTTTTTATTCAGTAATAAGAACCACAAGCCTAACATCAAAAAAACACAAAAACAGCAGATTAAAATGAAGGATTTAAGGACTTCACACCTGGCTTGATGCTGGTAAAGAAATCTCTGTCAGTGAAAATGGGTAAAAAAATAATAATAGTATTAATATATTTAAAAATATTTAAAATAATAGTATATTTTAATAACCCTATACATCCTATCAATGTGTAACCTTTTGATTTAATTTACATTGTATACTAATAGAAGATAACTAAATTCCATATAATAATTTATTAAAAATTATTCAAACCAAAACTGTAACATTTTTGCAGACTTTCAAATGAATTCCAGTTTACATAAATAATTCAAGCTCCAGATTGGCATTACATCACTGGCTGAAGGTAAGATCAGATGAGATCTAAATAAAGCTCCGTCTCCATTTCAGTATCCACGAGACCACAGGAGCCTTAAGTTAAAGATAGGCATAGAACAGGGATCTAGACAGGAGGAATACAGGGTGGGGTTAATCACTGAAACACTCTGCACGTTTTAGACACGATGGTCATCAAGAGGAATATAACTAAATCACTCAAGTGTTCCCACTTTAAACCAAATGTCTAATTCCCTGACATTCTCCGACTAAAAAACTGTATTTCCATGACTTCTAATGAATGGAAAACAGGTTGATGTTGTCCTTATACATTAATCATATAACATTGAATAATATGCTAAAATAATAAAATAAATATAATTTTGCATGACTTCAATAGACACTTTGTGAAGATCAACAATGGGTAATTTAGCTCAGTTATTTTTTTGGCTGTGGCTATGAAGTGCTTCTTCTCCTATACTTGATAGCTCAAAAAGTAATTGTTTTACAAAATGTATACTGTATTTAGCTTTTTTGTGACTGCTTTTTTAAAACCCAGCTCTTAAGATTTACATTATCCTAAGCAAGCGAGAAACAGTGTGATATAAAAACATGATAAAGAACATTTTTATTTAATAAATGAAAACTAAAATTTAAAATGACATCCCTAATATTTAGCCATAGGAAGATAACCATTTTCAACATGGTTTGGAAAATTCTAAATTTTAAAACTGCCAAAATTATATATGTACGTTTTTATTAAATTTTTTCTTAGTTTTTTAGGGCAACAGTGTCCCCAGCAGAAAAGATATCCAAAGATGCTGCTTTAAATTGTAAAGAAATTACCTGACATGTTATATATATTATAATATAATATTATAAATGTTTCTTAAAATAAAATGTTTTGTGTTCAAAGGAGAAAATATGTTTTTGTTTTTTTACCCAGACATTTAAAAAGAATATATTTTAGAGCAGTAATCACAATACCATGAAGCCATGATATTTTTATCCAAGGTTATCATACCGTCAGAATTATGTACCGGCCCATGTTGATATTACATAACTTGAAAAAATTGAAATCCTTGATATTCAATATCTAATATCTAAGCCTTCTTCAATTCCGTAACATTCCTGAAATTCCATGACCCATGGACACCCTGTCAATTCCAAATCCAGGAAAGGTGTACATGAAAATTTACTACTTCAGAAAATAGGTTTGAACAAAAGCTCAAGCATAAACAATAACTTGATTAAACTTTTTTTCAACTATAGTGAAACCACAAATGCAAACTGTCTGCAGTACTAATAGCAGACCACCAGATGTCATTGAAAGCAAAGCTCAACCTAAACCACAGCAAATTACAAAAACTAAACATAACGTAAAACTCCCTCAAAGGAACAACCCAGTTTTGTATGACAACAATGACTCAGCTGTGCTCAAACATATACATGCTGAAGTTACATAATATCTGAAGTCAAAGTCAAGTTAGCGTGTGTAAATGGGTACATTTGTGTGTCTGCTACAGGGGAACACTGGTATTTCAAATCTGATTATTACTGTTTAAAATCCTCTTGGTCACTGGACATCATGAATCACTGCGCAAAAACATCACAGCCTGGATCAAACGCTGGAATGTTAAGTAGGGTTGTTAGTCGATCAGAAACTTTGGAAACAGCTGAGACAGAAGAGGAGCTGTTCTCAGAGCGCCAAGACCTAGAAACAAGACTCCTGCAGAGTCACGAGTAACAGCAACAGAGGCTAATCCTTAATTAGCAAGGAGATAATTAGCAGGATAAGGACAGAGAGATCCTGACACACACAGGCACACAAAGAAACCGGCAAACTGAATTTTCTGGGACTTATACAAACTATAATCTTAGCAAATCTACAATACAGCTGCATGTATAAAGTAGAAATAGTTTTGGTGTGGTTAGAGATCTGGGGCCTCATGTATCAACGCTGCGTACGCACAAAAACTTTGCGTACGCCAGGTTTCACGCTCAGAATCGCTCACGTTTGGATTTACTAACAATGAACTGAACGTGGGAATGTGCGCAACTTCACGGCAGCTTTCTGGCAGGCGTACGCACATTTTTTGTGCGTGTCTGTTTTATTTCCATTGGCGACTCCTAGAGGCAGTTGTGTTAAATTGCTCTCTACAAAGTGTCTGAGCCTTGCAATGGCAGTTGTATGAGGCGGGTTCAGCAGGTATATAAGGTTTCCATACCATACAGTTGACCAGCTAAACATTAAAGCACAATTTGCAGCGCTCGCCTGTTTTCCCAATGTAATCTGAGCGATCTACCGCATGCACATTGCTATAAAGACACTATCTGAAGATGAATTTGCATGCGTGAATCAGTAACATTTCCATTCAATATTATTATATCTGTAAAATGTTGCTGCACCCTGAACAGTCTCAGTGGCGTAGCTCGTAAGACACATGTGAACATGTTTTGACACGTTCGAGCATGAACTCGGCTCGAATCCAGCGTCTGGTGAACTCTTTCTTCTTTTTTCCCCCCGCTACATATCAGATTTTGCCTACTATTTATCACGAGAAAGACTAGTAGGAATCATTAATAAGTTTGTGCATCATATTTTATTTGCACATTTATTGAATGGAAATGTTTCTGATTCACGCATGCAAATTCATCTTCAGATAGTGTCTTTATAGCAATGTGCGTGCAGTAGATCGCTCAGATTACATTGGGAAAACAGGCGACCGCTGCAAATTGTGCTTTAATGTTTAGCTGGTCAACTGTATGGTATGGAAATCTTACATACCTATCTGAAGATGAATTTGCATGCGTGAATCAGAAACATTTCCATTCAATAAATGTGCAAATAAAATATGATGCTTATTGATATGAACTTATTAATGATTCCTACTTGTCTTTCTCGTGATAAATAGTTGACAAAATCTGATATGTAGCGGGGGAAAAAACAAGAAAGAGTTCATCAGACGCTGGATTCGAGCCGAGTTCATGCTCGAACGTATCAATTCCTGAACACATGGGTCTTACGAGTAGCGCCACTGTGACTGTTAATCATCCTGCAACATTTTACAGATATAAACCACAATATTTCTTTTTTCAATGCACTCAGTGCGATGTTCAGACCCAACTGTGTTAACCGCATCAGCTAAACTCTCCCGCTCTATTTATTTCTTTTATTGTTAATTCCGGAGAACAAACTTGCAAATAACACCGCTTTTCTCCGGCCTACCTCTGAAAGCACCTCCAATTCACATTCTGTTCAAAGTTTCTCTTTTTGCTTGCTTTTGCCATTGCTTTTTCGTTGGGTTTTTCCATTAGCATAGTCATTAGCATATTCATACGGGGGAGGAGTCAGGGAGGGGTTTTGTGCTCGTGCATGTTGCGCTCAGTTTCACGTTCATTCAGATGTACAAAAGAATATGCGTGAGATTCGGCGTACGCAGTGTTTCATACATCTGAAATTTTTTCTGCGTACGCACATTTACAGCTTTGTGCGTACGCAATGTTTTAGTAAGATTTCCACGCAAGTCCTCGTACATGAGGCCCCTGAAGTACTGATTTATTTTAAATCAATTTAAAGGTGCTGTATGTAAGTTTTTGACTCTAAATCATAATCATCTCTAAATTATAAAAATGTAATATCATGTTTGCAGATATTTAAAAAAACATGCTAAGTGAATATACTTGTTTATTTGGAAAACAATGTTGAAGTCAGATATTCTGCTTTGAGAATGTCTGTTACATGGAGCATCTATCTTTGTTTTGGTTCTTTTACCACCCCCAATGCCAGTTTAGCCAATTATATTTCAGGACCCCGGGTTGCCTTGTTGGAAAACGCCATATTTCATTTATTCATTCATTCAGAAAGGCTTCCAAAGAATGCTCCATTTAATATGGAAAAAATTCCTTCCATACCGTGGCCTTGCTTTTATATAGAACACCATTTAAATCAGCCTCAATTTAAAAATCGACCTGCTCCATTTGGTCCTCAATCTGGCAACCTGTGCTTGCGTTTGTTTTGATCCAGGAACGCAATACCAAGTTCAACCACTGAGTGTCAAACATACAAACTGCACCTTTAAGTTACTTCTAATTATAGTTAGTAATAGTAGTAGAAGTAGCAGCAGTAAGTTGAAAACAATTTTACTAAAATTTATGGGGTTTTTTTTTTCTTGCTAACAATATTGTTGCTATTACTCAAAATGTTACTATTATTTGAGTATGTACATTAACATTATCATAACAATTATTATTGTTATTCATTAGTATCATTTATAATTTCAACTGTTATAACCTGTCTTTTCAGATTCACTATATAATTTCTTTTTTTATTTAATATGTTCACTGTACTTTGAAGCTTTCAGATCAATGCATCTCATGTCAATAAGTACTGCTTTTTATTTTGTTGTACATAACCTCAACACTCTGCAATCTTATTCTGGATGTATGTGTGTACTCACGACGCTGTTGAGGTCTGACTCAAAACTGCTGCAGTGGTGCATGTGTGTGTTGTGTCCCAGTGGCTCCATGCCCTCCTCATCCCACATGTATGTCCCTCCAGAGCTATTAGAGGGTGAGAGCTCCAAAGAAGAGACTGCATGACGGTCCACTTCAGGGGACATGAGCGGTGGACCACGTAGTGGAGCACTCTGTAAATCTGCCTTACCACCTAAAAATTAAACACACATCAGGATCTACATGCTTACCACAAGGGTTATCAGCCACTATATCTCAAATGGACCACTGAAAGCATGAATTCCAATAATAAAGAATCAGAACACCCTTTTCTGCCATGCTTCACTTAAGATTTAAATGTTTACATGACATTGAACTGGTTGACCCTGATAAATGGCAGAAATGAAAGTTATGTTTAGCAATACCTGCCAGCCCAATCCCAGCCCAGTCCATGGTCTCATTCAAAAAGCTCTGCATGCGTATCCGGGTGGCTGTGGCAACAGGATTTTTGTTCTGCTGGATGCCATTCTGGGACTGGTCCCCTAGGTTTTCAAAGTCATCTAGGAACTCCTCACTGGTGTCATTCCTCTCCAGAGAAGATGCCGAGGAGAGAGACATATCCTCCGCACCCTCCCCAGTGTAGTGAAGGGTCCCATTCAGACTCGGCTCTGTCACAGCCTCCTCTGGGGAATCAGTGAAAGCTGAAACCTTGTCACAAACACAGAATGAAGGAAAAGATTATGTATTTATTAATTTAACTTCAGTTTAGTCATGTTTAAAATTCAGCATTGTTATTAACAGCTATGCAAATATTATTATTGATTAGAACAAGAACTCACAACACAGAATAGTATTTTTATATAATTATCTACAAAATAATTTAAAAATTTGACAACAATAACAAATTGGACTTTATGAAAACATAATACTTGTATAATACATACATTTTATTATATTATTGTTATTTTTAGTATTATTACTATTAGTAGTAGTAGTATGATTAGTAATAGTAGTAGTAGTAGTAGGGTTGTAACTAGTAGTAGTAGGGTTGTAACTAATAGTTGTAGTAGTAGTAGTAGTAGTAGTAGGATTGTAACTAGTATTATTATTATCAGTAGTAGTAATAGTACTAGTAGTAGTAGTAGTTAGTAATATAGTTGTTGTAGTAGTAGTAGTAGTAGTAGTAACAGTAGTAGTAGTAAAAGGGTTGTAACTAATAGTAGGAGGAGTATTATTATTATTAGTAGTAGTAGTAGTAGTAGTAGTAGTAGTAGTAGTAGTAGTAGTAGGGTTGTAACTAGTAATAGTAGTAGAAGTGGTAGTGGTAATAGTAGTAGGGTTGTAACTAGTAGTAGTAGAAGTAGTATTAGTAGGGTTATAACTAGTAGTAGTGGTATTATTATTATTATTAGTAGTAGTAGTAGTAGTAGGGTTGTAACTAGCAGTAGTAGCAGGTTTATCTAGTATTATTATTAGTAGTATAGTAGTGGTAGTAATAGTAGTCGTAGTAGTAGTATGATGATTGTAACTAGTAGTAGTAGTAGTAGTACTAGTAATAGTAGCAGTAGTAATACGGTTGTAACTAGTATTATTTTATTTTTATTATTATTATTGGTAGTAGTAGTAGTAGTAAGCTTGTACCTAGTAGTAGTAGTAGTATTAGTAGTAGTATTGTTGTAAAAAGTATCAACCTTGGTACCAATCGATACTGAAATTTTAAAAATCCATTTCCTGCTAATATTTTAGCACTGTTGAGCATGTTCTTAAATACTGCTGATTGGCAATCGTGTTCACAAGCTCAACAGATTAACAGATAGGCTGATTGACTTGTAGGTCATCGCTTTACCACTGTTCATCAAGCACAAACTTAAAAATCTTGGATGAGAATGCCTGTGCTCAATTGTTAGCAGGAAATGTCAGTATCGATTTGTACCAACTTCGATATTTTTGACAACCCTAATTATTAATACAGCTGCAAACAGCAATTAAGGAGCCAAAAAGTCAGAGACAGAATGAGCAAAGCATCCAGAGGCAGAATAAGCCCCAGGGTCTAAAAAGCAACAAGTTTAGTAAGAAACTTCAGACTAAGTGAGTTTTTAATACATTTTAGAAATGTTTCACTTAAAATATTAGAAAATTATGAAAACAATTAACATATGAAGGATTTATTGATTTATAACTTGACCAATAGGTGGCAGAGTCATGAATTTATTGTTTTGTGGTCAGTGTTAGGTGACAATAGGAACATAAAGTTTGGTGTCAATATAAACATTACAGAGAGAGAGAGAGTCTCAGATGCAGATTATACCAGCACATTTAGTTGTCATAGTAAATACCCAGAGTCGGACACTTACGTTTTCTGTGGCACAGTGGAGCTGCTCTGGAGTGAGAGGAGGAGTTATAATGTCACTTTCCACAGGGCTTCTCCTAACCACTGGAGGGCACTGCTGTTTGGCAGCAATTGGTCGACTTAGCCTGTAGGCTTGTAACGAGGGTTTTGTCAGCATAGAGTTAGGTAAAAGCTGCCTTTTTGTGGAATTAGGCGGCGTTAAGCAGTCTGAAGAGGGAGTCCCAGCAGGTAGTCTATCTGTTAAGCCCTTTCCAAATCCCAGGCCCCCAAAACCAAGCATTGGTCGGCCTTTGCTGAGGATCAGTGGAGATTTGAGTCCAAGTGTTCGTGGAGGACGCAGCTGGGTATTAGCTAGTGGCTTGGCTAGCTCCACAGCCTTGTTGAAGGAGAAGGAGCGTGTCATGGGAGCGGATGTTGGCGATGGTAATTGTTTAAAGTGGGTGAAGCTCTGAGAGCGCACCATGTGGTCAGGCAGGACCGAATGTTTTGAGAGGCTGTCGTTGGATTGAGATAAGCTAGAGGTGCTTCGCGTAGAGCTAGAATTTGTCCTCGGTCGCTGAAGCCCTGAAGAGATGGCTTGGCCTGGTGAAGACCCCAGAAATGCAGTTCCATTTTGAGTTGGCCTTTGTTGGGATATGTCCTGACTTTTAGAGGTTGTCAAGATCTGAGAGTGTTTGGGCTTTGGTTTAGGACTTTGGATGGATTTAGAGGATTTGGGTACAGGTTTGGGGCTTCCACTGGATAATGACGAGGCCGACCTGCGCACTTTAGATGCAGGAGTAGAAGGGCTTTTTAACTCCTTACTTCCTGGAGACTGTTGAGATCGAGCTTCTTTCTTCCCTTCTGGTATTGTGCCCTCTACTAAGTTTAAAGGGTCCAATGACCCACCATTTTCCTTTCTCCATTTCATGGAAAAGGAGGAGGCTCTGACTACTCCATTTGGCCTGACAGGGGGATTCTTACCCTCTTGTGTGACCACAATCTGGGCTGTGCCATTGGGAAGGGATGAAGGGGTACCACTGACAGGACGGGCACCAAATTTTGGCAGTCTGGACACCATGGGGGACTTATTGAGGACCTTCTGTTCCATCAGCATATGGCAGAGTCATGGATGAACACTAAAGAGACACCTAAAAAGAAAAGAGAAAGACTTTTTACATTTACTGGTCATTTACATTAAATTATCCTATAATGTGATTAAACTAAAATAGTGTGTGTTGATGTATTAATGAGATACTACATGCTATGAAAAATCAGCTCAAGAGCATGAAAAGTAAACAAAAACATATGAGATGGAAAGCTGATTTACAAGGTGTTATATTTGTATTTTGATACATGCACTGCATTGTTCTCTTTTAGGGTTAAAGGAAGCAACAGAAAATTGCCACAAAAAAAGGTCTCACAGTGTTCCTTCCACTGTATTTCCCGTAGTACATCCTCTCAACCTTTTATTTAAAAAAATGGCCTAATAACAGACCACTGATGTAACTAACAAAAGCAAGAAAAGAGGTGGCTGAGTTTTTTCTCTATTTATCTATTCATTTATTTATCTATTAACTTTTGGTTTCCCAGAGATGCGTTGCGGCTGGAAGGGCAACAGCTGCGTAAAAACGTGCTGGAGAAGTTAGCAGTTCATTTTGCTTTTCAACCCCAGATTAATAAAGAGACTAAGCTGTCAAGAAAATGAATGAATATTAACTTCTGAATGGAATAACCCTTCTACAGTCCTTTGATGATCTGACTGGAAAGTTTCACAGCATATGACATAACAGCTAATTTGGATCAGGATAGAGGATGTGTTTAAACGGCTAAGGATTGAAGCGCATGTGTCTTAAAGTTTACTGTCCTCCTCGTGCTTGATCATGTGTTGGTGGCATTGATGTCACTGCACAAAATAAAACATTATAACATGTTTTAAAACATGTTCTGCAGAAATACAGACTGGGGCCACAATTAAAAATTGACCAACTTTTTATTACTGAAATCTGTCTGTTGACTATAAGAACTACAACAATGCACTGGTTTGAGTTAAATTTCTTACTCTTGCATCATATAATATTTTTTTTAATAACTACAAGTTTGATTTAATGACTGGTAAGAAATCAATAAGAGTTAAATAAATAGTTCTGAAGTATTCATGCTGTAAATAAAATGTATATGCACATACTGTACACACACACACAGACACACACACAATGTTCACGTAGTGTAGGTTGCAAAACAAGGAGAGGCAATGTTAGGGTAGAGAGCATCAGGAAGAAAAAGGGGAAAGTTTTCACTTCACTCTTTTCCATATTGATTTTTTCTGTGAATTACGTCCAAGGCTCAAAGGAAACCAAAACAAGTAAATTTGAGAAAGGGGAGGGGAGTTCTGGGCTAAAAGCCAAATCCTGTTCAGCTGAATGGTGCCTCTATGACGTTCCACTTCATTCTGTCCTAATCTGGTTTTATTCTCAGAAATCAGTTTCGTTCATTCTTTTACACAAGCCTTGGTTTAAAGGAAATATTCATTAGGTACTAAAAGAAAACTAAATACAACATCATATATTAATTCATCAGAGCATCAAGATTTGAATGAAGGGCTGGACTGTTGTTTATGACACAAATGTGAAGCGTGCGTAAAAAAAAAAAAAAAAAAGCAATGGAGGAATACAAGGGTGCATGCAGTGATCTTTATTCACACACTGACCCACATTCTGTGATGAGAGATTATACTAGTAGTCACACGAGACAGAGAGAAAGAGAGAGAGAGAGAGAGAGAGAGAGAGAGAGACTGACAGGCTTTATAATCCTCTTCATTCTGCCAAATCAGGTCAGCCATAACAGATCTCCCAAAGCCTACCCCAGCCCAACACCAGCAGTTATTTTCACATTTTTGCCAAAACACACAGAAATATGACTGATCTTTATTTAATACTAATTACTGTAAATGATAATAAATACCTGACAAGTACTTACTGTATCAATGCAGAGTATTATATAGATTTTTTATGTCTTTGTGTGAATGTGCAGACTTCTGATTCACTGGTCTTTACAGAGAGATAACCTGAATATCAAAGTGCAGTAAACAATATAATTGTTTGCCTTACAAAACAGTGTATTTATACTCATTAAAAATTCAATAGTTTTCAATATTAAGCAACATTATAAGCTCTTTTTTACAGCTATACCTGGAGGCAAATAATAGAAATAAAAACAAGTTTCTTGCACCAAATGAGCATATTAATATGATTTTTAAAGGGATAATATGACACTGAAATGCATAAAGAAAACTTATTTTATATCATGATAAAATCACATTATTACAGTTATTATTGTAGCTCTAATCAAATACATTGGGAAAGCACAACACCTTTGTTAAAAACCTGGTAGTGTATGTTTGATTATAGTAAAACATACTTTAAACATTAATATTGTATGCTTAATTTCAATATCTAAAAGCTAATGTTCATATGGTGCTGTTGTTTCAAATTGGATATGATCGTTCATGTTTCATGAGAGTACACTAGTGTTTCTGCCTTTTTAAATGATTTTTAAATTAAACATTTCAGAGCTAGTTGATTTGGTTCAACATTACACATTACATTGGTTCAAAGCTTTGAAGACTTTATTGAAAGATTTTAGGAAAGAAGACAGAATGCATACCGGCATAAATCTGCATAAACATAAAATACATTCAAAGGGCAAAGGAGCGTAATTGCTGAAGCCTGAGGTCAGATGATGTCATACATGAGGTTACTATGGCAACGCTCCAGACCATCTGTCAACTGGTTCCTTCCCACACAAAACTCACTCGACTAGAATGAAAAAGTCACAGAAAAAAACTCTGCATCTTTTACCTGCATCTCAAAACCCACCCACATGCAGTATACACACATCGGCAGACATCATTCTAATTCCAAAAGACATGCAGACGAGTTCTGTGGGTAACTAGAACCAAAGAAAAAAGGAGTCACTTCAAATCAAACACAGCAGGATGTGATGTGATGTCTAAATGTGATTTTAAATGGACCTCAGGTCTCAGTGAAAAACCCCTCCCAATGGCTTTAGATAAACTATCACATTGTTGTTGCTGCTGTTGTAAACAACTAATGACAAAGAAGTTCCAAAATCTAACAAGTTACACCAAAATCATCTCAAATTAGGACATTCTTTGTATTACAGATATCCTAAACGTATACAGTAGAATACACATGGTAACAAAGGCTAATGCATCTTATAATACAATTCTATTTAATGTAGAGGTGGTGATTTTGAGTTTAAATATTAGCAAATGGCATAATTAAGCTCACAACAAGGCAATAGTGACAATGATAACAAAAACAATTGAGCTGACCACCGTAACACAGAACATATCACTATTCCTAAAGGACTAATTCAAACAGAAAGTGTTTTCCCACTGAAAAACCATGTAATTGAATGGAAAAAGCTCAAGGTTATGAGGCGTGGGTTGAACCTTTTTTAATGATGTGCGAAATGATGCAAAACAAACAACCCTCACACCCATCAACCACACGTTTGTATATAGCCATGTGGAAAAGCTTGCAAACCCCATTGAATTTCATGCTTCTCAGTATAAGAACATAGCAAAAAACTATATAGTCCCTGGCAGGTCTTCAAAATTGGAAGATAAAACAACCCAGATGAACAACATCACATGACAACTCACACCATGTCATTATTTATTTACAGCAACAAAAAAGCCAAAGAGAAAAGCCACATAGGACACCCTATGATTCAGATGATCCACTTTTAGCAGTATTTACTTAAAGTAATCGTTTTCTGTGTGACTTTCTCAGCCTCTCAGATTATTCTGGAGGAGTTTTTTGCACAGCTCTTAGCTCAGCATTTCAGCCAAGATGACCCAGGAGTATTCCACCTTGATATATTTTTAGCTGTTTGGGATCATTGTCTTGTTGCATGAACTAATTTTGCTTTAGCTGTTGGACGGACATTGTGTTAACATACACCTCCAGACCAACATACTGCTAAAACTATTGAAATTAGCAATGTTTGACTCGTGACCTAAACCTAATTTGCTAATGCTGAATGTTGCTGTTACTTTTTGTTAATTTCCCAAATTTTTATGTTTATGTCCTGATATGAAATGAATTGTATATAGACCTCCGAGACAGGAATGCGGCCTCCATCCATAAGTGAAAGATGTTTGGAACCACCAGGACTCTTCCTAGAGCTGGCTAGACATCTAAGCTGAGTGATCAGGGGAGAAGGGCCTTAGTCAAGGAGGTCATCAATAACCCAATGGTCACTCTGTCTGAGCTCCAGCATTCTTCTGTGGAGAGAAGAGAAGCTTACAAAAGGACAACCATCTGTGCAGCAATCCACCAATCAGTTCTGTATGGTAGAGTGGCCAGACGAAAGACTCCCCAGCTGGAATTTGCCAAAAGGCATCTAAAGGACTCTCAGAACATAGGAAACAAAATACTCTGGTCTGAGGAGACTAAAATTGAACTCTTTGGAGGGAATGCCAGGTGTTACGTTTGGAGGAAACCAGGCACCGCTCATCACCAGGCTAATACCATCCCAACAGTAAAGCACGATGGTGGCAGCATCATGCTGTGGGGATGTTTTTTTAGCTTCAGGAATTGGAAGACTAGTCATAATAGGGGGGAAGATGAATGCAGCAATGAGCAGAGACATCCTGAATAAAAACCTGCTTCAGAGTGCTCTTGACTTCAGACTGGGGCGATGGTTCATCTTCCGGCAGGACAATGACCCAAAGCACACTGCCAAATTATCAATGGAGTGGCTTCACAAGAACTCTGTGAATGTCCTTGAATGGCCCAGACAGAGCCCAGATCTAAATCCTATTGAACATCTTTGGAGAGATCTGAAAATGGCTGAACAATATTGCTTACCATCCAACCTGATAGAACTTAAGAGGTACTGCAAAGAGGAATGGGCAAAAATTTCCAAAGACAGGTGTGCCAAGCTTGTGGTATCATATTCAAAAAGACTTGAGGCTGTAATTGCTGCCAAAGGTGCATCAACAAATATTGAGCAAAGGCTGTGAATACTTCTGTACATGTGATTTTTCAGGTTTTGTATTTTTAATATATTTGCAACAATTCCAAAAACTCTTTTTCACATTGTCATTATGATGTTTTGT